GGACCTCTCCTCCCTCAGACCTTTACCTCCTGCTCACCTTTTAAATCTGCACTCAACATCATTTCCTTAGAGAATTAGGTTGCCCTCTGTCGCCCCATTTCTACTCACTCTCCACATCACCCACATTCATCTTTTCCAGAGCAATCATTAGTGCCTGAGATAACCCTATTGATTGACTTACTGAATCTGTTTAAAAGACAGAACGGAAACTTTTTGTGATGCTTTATTCTCTGCTGGATTCCAAATGGTAAAAAGAGTACCTGGCTCACAGTTGGTGCTCCACACATTTTTGTGGACTGATTGATTTTTAATTAATTAAGAGAGGGGAGAAAAGGAGACTATGGCAGCTCTAAGCAAGCAGGACCACTGACAGCTCAGACACCTAAGGAGTAAAAGGTTTGGACCACCTCAGCTGGCAAAGAACAGTACCAGGTAAAGTGTGAGGGGTATACACAAGGGAAAGTCGGTAAGCATAGCCAAAAGGGGCACAGAGAGAGAAATTTCCTTCTGTGGTACTATGTATGTTTACACACTATTTATTTATTCTCTATTTCCTTATCTCCCCTACCTCTTTCCGTTATAAGGGTATGTTGCTTAAACTGATTTCTGGGTATAAAAATTAAAAAGGCATTGCAGCCTGACTGGTGTGGCTCAGCTGTTGAGTGTTGGCCTGGGAACCAAGAGGTTGCTGGTTCAATCTCCAGTCAGGGCACATGCCCAGTTTTGGGCTCAATCCCAAATAGGGGGCATGCAGGAGGCAGTCAATTGATGATGCTCCTCTCTCATCAATGTTTCTATCTCTATCCCTCTCCCTTCCTCTCTCTCTAAAAAATCGATAAAAACATATTTTTTAAAAAGGCATTGCAACAGAAGTGGAGAAGGGGGGGATATTACGCAGTCACAGACTCAGAGGTGTCTGCAGTAACTGATGAGCCTTTGGGTTGTCTCCCTCGAGAGAAGAAGGTTTTTAATTATACAGGGAGTAAGTGCATTGTGCTAGAATAATGCTCTTTTAAAAATGAACACTCTCTACCCTGCTTTATTTTTCTTTATAGTACTGCCTGCTGTGTCATACAGTTGCTGGTTAATTTATTACCCCCTCACTAGAATGTAAGTGGTTTAAGGGGCTTTGTTTTGTTCACTGCTCTCAGGTGGCACATGGTACACACTCAATAGTTACGTAGGAATGAACAAATGGAGAAACAGTCCAGAATCTGTTTCTATTTCTACCACCTGGATTTTCTTTGGGGGAATGACCTCCATTCCATTCCACTGCATTCCACCTTAGTAAACGGGGCCTTCACACACCTGCCTCCTACTATGAAAGGCAAGGAGGTCTCTGGAGGCACCCATTTTCTTACTGCTCCAGTGCCACCAGGTGGTGGACACATCACTAAGCTTTCAGAGTTGATCCTCTATTTGGGGACTTTGAATCTTGACTGAGTGACAGGAGGACAGAAGGAGTGGTTGACCTTCCCTCATTCCCAGGGGTAGCACTATGGCCAGTATTGTGTTACAGGACTTCCTTGGCTCCTTCCCTGTGATTCGTTGGTTCCCAGAAGCAACCCTGACTGTGTCATCCGTTTCCTCAATTGGCTCTCTAACCACTCTATTAATTATGAGAAACCTGACACTCTTCTGCTAAATTATCTTTTTGCTTAAGCTACCCATTTGTTGTCTCAACAAAATAACACTAAAATCAAATCAAAACACTTAGAGAAAGTAAAGAAATAAGCAGTCTGTATGTGTATAGGGTTGGAGGAGAAATCACCTACAGTCCTGCCATCTTTCTTAGAGACGAGCAGATTCCGCACAGCCCTCAGAAGGAACCAACCCTGCCAACACCTTGATCTGACTTCCAGCCTCCAGAATGGAAACAATACATTTCTATTGTTTAAGCTACTTTGTTATGGCAGCTTTAGCTAACTAATACACATATCTTATTTTATTTCCAATTTTTCTCTCCCTTGGTTTTCCTAATTATGTTATACTAGAGGCCTGGTGCACAAAATTCATGCACGGGGTGGGGGGGGGTGTCCCCTCAGCCCAGCCTGCACCCTCTCAAATCCAGGACCCCTTGGGTGATATCCGACTGCCGGTTTAGGCCCAATCTCAGGGATCAGGCCTAAACTGGCAGTCGGACATCCCTCTCACAATCCGGGACCGCTGGATCCTAACTG